GAGATCTAGAACCTGAGCTGAGATCAAGAGTCAGTCACCCAACCAACTGAGCCACCCCAGCACCCCAAACTATTTTCTCTTCTAATATAAGCTTTTAGGTCTATAAATTTTCCTTTAACTACTTCTTTAGTTTTCTCTCTCAACTTTCTACACACAGTACCAAATATTTAATACGTAGCATTTAAATATTGTCAGATTTTCAGAACGATTTGTTCTTCGACCCATGAGTTTCCAAACAAATGGGTATTTCTAGTTATCTTTACTTTTTTTTTTTTTAAAGATTTTATTTATTTATTTGAGAGAAAGTGAGAGTGTGCCAGCAGGGGGAGGGGCAGAGAGGGAGGGATAGGGACAAGAAGACTCCGCAGTGTGCGCACAGAGCCTGACCTGGGGCTGGATCTCTGCACCCTGAGATCATGACCTGAGCTGAAATCAAGAATCCTGGATGCTTAACTGGCTTCGTCACCCCGGTGCCCCCCCAGTTATCTTTTTTAAAGAATTGATTCTTAATTGCACTGCAGTAAGAAATATGGTCTGTGTGATGCAAAAATTTCAAAATTTGTAGAAACTTGTCATATAGTTCAATCTATGATCAACTTTAGTGAGGTTTCTGGGTGGGCTCAAAAAAATTGATTTTTTTCTAACTGTATAATTTTGCATTTGGAGTCCCAACTTTATTGGGACGTTATTTAAACTGCATTCTTAAAGCAGACACTAGGCTTTCACATCTGCCCCTAAGACTTCCACGGCTACAAAATTCAATATTCAAATTCACTGGATTCAGCAAATACCTTCCAGGCAAAAGTTGATTTTGGGCTCTGCTTATGCCACTGGTTTCTGGCCTTTACTCTGTCCTGGTGATACTGTTCAGCTTCTTGCTGGTCTATAGATGCCAGAATATATTTTTAATATTTTACCCAGTATTTTTATTGCTGTTATTTTCATTGAAAGAGTTAGTCCAGACACTTCGCTGAGCATATTATAGTAGAGGCAACTAACGAGTGGTGAAAATGGGTGGTTAAAAATACAGGTTTGGGAGTCAAGTATGCCTGGGGATGAAACCCAGGGTCACTGCTTACTAGCTGTGAGACTTGAGGCAAGTCACTCAAACTCTCTGTGCCTCAGTTCCTTCATCAATAAATTGGTGTTAATGATAGAGATACCCCATAGGTCTGTAGTTAAGAGTTTCTAAAAGAACTGAGTGTACAGTGATGGCTCAGAAATTGCTAAGTAGTCTGAGTCCTGTGAAAGGGCTTCAATCTATAATTGAAGGATATGGAATGGAGGTTATGAAATGGAGAATATTGCTCATGTACCCGCAGAACAGAACTTAAGAACTAAGAGACTGATTTCCTGTAAATGCCTGGTTTACAGAAGACAGACAATTTTCTTGCTATAGCATGGGTTTTCCAAATTCCTGTTCCTCTGCTATTTCCTGACAAACTCAAGTTCTGGTAATTTGAGCTTGTATCACTTCACTTCTTTATTGAGATTGACAGTCCTCACAGGAGCGATACATAAGCTGGGAACCACAAAGTTATTTCTCTAAGGTTTAATCACCTCCCATGGGAAGCTGCCAGAGGGGGGGCATAAAAACCCCCTCCCTTCCAACTCCGACCTGGGGAGACTTGATTCTTATTCTAGGGAAAATCCTCCCCACTTCTGGGTTCCCTTAAAGAAACCCCTTTTCACTGGTTCTCTCCCTCCTGACTTACATCAGTTCCTCAATGAGTTTAGAGTGTTGGGAATTAAAGACATAAAGGAAATGTCTTGCAGGCCACTTCTGCTTTCCAGAAGTTCCTTGAGACAAGCAGAATGCCTGACTACTTTGTTAAAAGGGGGCGGGCGTGGGAGGGAGAAGGAAGAAAATGCATGGAGAAAGATAGAAGTTAATATTTCAAAAATGATCCTGTTTTAAAAGGAATGGCTAAAGCATACCAGCTAGAAGGAGCAGGAGAGAAAAGTGGAGAGAAAAAGAACACTCTGATGCTGTGCTAGAAAACAGACTTTTTCCTCTAGGCATGCACTGCCAATAGCTTGTGCTACAGGTAGATCTGCAATTCAGAGTGGAGGTTACTTAGACCTGTGGAGAACTGGAGGGCAGAAGACCAGCTCAGTTGTGTCTGCAATGGATGGTAAGAGACATAGCAAGGGCCTGACAGCCAGAGGGGTGAGGCCACATTGTTGTGTAATCATGGAGCACCCTGCAGGTGGCCAACATGGCAATTCTGCAGAGAGCCTTAGAGTAGAAATGAACAGATTTGATGTACATGGAATGAGAGTAGAGGGGAAATGAGACTCCCTCCCAGGTTTTTTTCTGGCTAGGATGACTAAATGGGTGATGGTGCAATTAGCCAAGACAGGAGATTCAGGAGGAGCAGTTTTGAAGAAGCAAATGTGATGGGCCTGAATTGGATGTCACTGTGGGCCATGCTGGTGGAGGAGATGTCTAAACCCACCAAGCACAGGCATGAGGCTCTCAGAGCAGTTTCTGGCTGATTGGAGGAGGAGGGACTTTCAAGAAGGAAATCATGGTCAGGGCACCTGGGTGGCTCAGATGGTTAAGTGTCTGCCTTCGGCTCAGGTCGTGATCCCAGGGTCCTGGGATCGAGTCCCGTGTCGGGCTCCCTGCTCCTTGGGAGCCTGCCTCTCCCTCTGCCTCTCTCTCTGTCTTTCATGAATAAATAAATAAAATCTTAAAAAAAAAAAGAGGAAATCATGGTCAATTGTGTCTTACCCTCCAGAGATTGTGAGAGAAGATTGAAAGAGATCCACTGTATTTGGCAACCAGAAGGTTGTTGCCTACTTTAGCTTGAGAAGTTTCAGGAGCCAAGAGGAACAGAAGCAGGAGCAAGATCGTGAAATGAAAAAGCAGAGGCTCCTCTTTCCAGGTAGTTTGGCTACCTGGGGGAGCCAAGCTGTGACATAAGTCAATAGCCTAAGAAGGAACAAAGGATCAAGAAAGTCTTCTCTGGGGGCGCCTGGGTGGCTCAGTTGGTTAAGCGACTGCCTTCGGCTCAGGTCATGATCCTGGAGTCCCGGGATCGAGTCCCGCATCGGGCTCCCTGCTCGGCAGGGAGTCTGCTTCTCCCTCTGACCCTCCCCCCTCTCATGCTCTCTCTCTCTCTATCTCATTCTCTCTCTCAAATAAATAAATAAAATCTTTAAGAAAGTCTTCTCTGGCTTCTCTTCTCCCTTCCCTCTCTTCCTCTTCCCCCTTCTCCTTTATCTTAAGTAGTAGGAGAAGCCTGAGTCTGCTAAAGCCTGAGGAAGAGGGGACAACAAGAGTGAGGGTCGCCCATGGAGCTGGAAGGTGGTGGGGACAGAAGACAGGTGAAGGAAGACATTCCTCCTTCTGACATTCCACTGGAGTAGGTGGTATTTGGTGGTTCCCCACAGAGTTCTTAGGCATCAGGGGCTGGAAATGAAGGGATATCATGAAACAAACATTTAATGAGTCCCTATTTTGCTTAAGTCATGGTGTAAATTAGGTAGACACCAGAGAATGAGGAAATGTTAGAAATGCGAATCACTCATAGTGAGGTATCAAAGCTAAGGCTGTTTGGAGGGAGGGGATGTCTAGGGCTTCCTGAATGATGAAAGGAAGGAAGGAAGCTTGGCAGAATATTTCCCTCCCAAGGCCCGAGGTAGCAAAAATAGCCTGAGGGAAACAGGAAAGGTCTTATGAGGGGAAGACGGAAGAAAGGAAAGAAAGCAAACGGTAACAGCATGTTCCAGGTTCCAGACATTAAGCTAAATGAGGCTCTTTATAGGCAAAACAATCCTGTGAGAAAGGCATCACTATTTCCATTTTATTGAGGTAGAAAGTGAGGATCCAGCTCTTTTTCTGTCTTCAATTCCACTTCTCCATAGAGTGAAGTGCTTTGAAATATTGGAAGAGAAATCCCAGTTCTTGTCTTTTAAAATTTTTATTTCACTTGGAAGCCAAGTGAAAGGCACAGAAAATAGGAAAATCCTTCGTGTGCTTGGGCCAGTGGAACTACCTAGTCTCTCTGTAGGGCCTTGGTTAAAGATGGGGCAAAGCTTGGCTGAACGCGAAAGAGGCCAAGGAACTTAGATGAGGAAGTGGTTGCCTGTGTTCCCTCTTGTGAACCACAGAGGGGCCCTGAGACTGGCAGCCGGTTTCTGGGTCCCGGCGCAGCCCAGCCGCGCTACACTCCATCTGTGGGAAGAAACTCTGCTGCCGCTGGGCTCGTCACGCAGAAGCTTCATCTAAATGCCTATTTGCCAAGATCCTCAAAGTTATATAAATTATAATCCACGGAATGCATACTGAGAAATTAACTGACATTTGAAAGTAACACATGCACTTCCATTCATAACTTTTTAATAATAGGCTGCAAAAAGATAAAAACTAGTGTGCAGTCATATACGGTTTTGGCAATCCCTCTCTTAAAAAGTGTGTATTAGGATTGGGGAGGAGGGGGAGGGGCGGGGAGAGCAACCAAACAGGCGAAAACCCTACTGGGGATCAAAAGTGGATTGTAAAACATTCAACTGTATACCTTTTCTGCACTTTAATATTTATTCTTTTTGGCAGTCGGGCTCTAAGTTCCACGTGACGCGCCGCAGGGTTGCCATGGGGACCAGCAGAAACTTTTTTTAGAAAAGTATCGCTAGCGTTGCGCCAAGCGAGAGAGGCCAGTGCTCCGAGCCGCGCATTGAAGGGGACGAGCGGCCGCCACGACGCAAACGGCTAGCGCGGGCCCGGGAGGGAGGCCGTTAGGGCGCCGCGCGGCCGGGAGGCGGCGGCCGAGCGCGGCGTCACGTGGCCGGGGAGGGGCCTGCGCGCAGCCCACCCGCCCGCCCCTCGGCCGCCGCCGCCGCCGCCGCCGCCGCCGCGTCCCATTCATGAGGGCCGCCCGGCTCGGCTGTGGCCCAGGCGGCTCCCGAGGCAGCGGCGGCGGCGGGCGCCCGGGCCTCGCGCGCGTCCTCGGCCGACCCCGCCCCCTCAGCCTCCGGCGAGCCCGGGCCGGTCCTCACTGTCGCCGTCCAGCCGCCGCCTCCCCTCGGCCGCCCGCGGGCGCCGGCGCGGGTCCGGAGCGGAGTCGCCGCAGGTAAGCGGGCGCCGGGCCGGGTCCTCGCGCCTTCGCGCGACCCGCCGTCGCGGCTCGGCCTCCGCGGCGGGCGTCGCGTTTCTGCGCTCGCGAGCGGCTGGGGTCTTCCAACTCGGCGCGGTGCTGCTCTGCGGGAGGCCGGACCCTGCGCCTCGCCGCCGCCGTCACGTAGACGCGGCTCCCACCGGCGCCACGGCAGGACGGGCTCGCGGGGTGGCCTGGGGTGTGGGGGGGGCTGACGGCTGCGGGGTCAGCGTGAGGAGGGGGACGTGAAGACTGAAACATTCGGGTGCCCCCGCCGCAACCCGAGGTGAGGGTCACCTCAGAGCCCCCAGCTCGCGGCTTTCTGGCGTGGGGGCTGGAACGGAGGCCGAGGTGACGCTTGGCCAAGCGGCGCCCCGCGAGGAAAGCGCGGCTGGAGGCCGCGTCTCCATCCCGCCCCCTGCCCTGGGGGAGGGGGCGCCCGAGGCACGTGATCCGCTTTGAAGCCCGGGCTGGGAAGTTGCTGTTATTTCTCCCTGGCCGTTCGTTCGCCCCGTGTCTCCGCCTCCAGGTTGTAGACGCGGTCCTTGGTGTGAGTAGTTTTTCCCTTCTCAGACCCCCTTTTCCCTCGGCAAATCTCAAATTGTATCGAACGTGTTAGGGTAACAGTTTTATAGTGAGGGCTTCTCTCTCAACTTTAAACCCGGCGGAACACCATTTTCTGCACTCACCTGAACACATTAAGACTATTCTCATTGAGAATTTGGGATGACGTTTTTAAGTCATACTTAAGAAAAACAACCAGAAAGATCACTCTTCCTTTCAGAAAGTGCTGGAAGTCTGAATATTTGAAAATGCTCTGAGGGATTACTTAAGCCTCAATGCTAATCTTAAATGTACATTTCGGGATGATTTTTCCAAACCTGTTTATTTTAAACTGAAAAAGAGTCTCTGTCTTGGTGTCAGGCCAGGCCCTGTTGAAGGTGTTAGCCCAGTAGAGATTGTTCGTGTTACTGTTTATGAAAACCTGGCCTGGCTGGTTCCTAATGCTTTTACAATACAAAGTCAGTTTTGAAATACATTTGAAACATCTACAAATTATTTAGTGGCGCATATGGTTTATATGTGGATGGTCTGATACTGATCTTAGTGGTTTAAGAAGGAAAAGGGCGGCAGGCTATGCTGAGGTGGGGAGCGTCAGAGCCCACAAGGATTCTGCCGGTCCCCTAGTGCAACATCCTCACTTTGCCTGAAGGGCAGTCAGCCTCGGGGCCATACCCATCCAGAGTATAAAAAGCAGGCCCAAGGCCCCCCATGAAAGAGCACTGGCCAGTGTGGGTGTCTGCTTCCTTCTACTTAAATGTATAGTTAATTGTGATCTGTCAGACTGAAGTATAAGTAAATGTTGATAGAGATGGCCTTAGAATGCTAGAAATGAAACGATAGGTTCTGTTTTAATATGTGATAGCACAGTTGAGAACCAACAGAGAAGCTTTATGTTTAAGAGGAACTGGAAATGGGAGCATTTGAAAACCATTTAACACTATAGTAAAGCCACTGTTAAGAAACAAGTAATAGAGTCAGCTGGGCATTGTGTCCTTCATTGCTCCAAGAATGTAGCAGTGAAGATACTCATCACCCTGTATTGTAATTTTTGGTTTACCCGGGGGACTGTCGCCTGCGCTAGACTGAAGGTCCTTGCAGGCCAGACTTGGTAGCTGCCTGGTACCAAATGCAGAGCCAGCTTTTAGAAGAACCTCCATGGAGTTCTGTTGAATAAGGGTAGGAAGCAGCAGTCAGTGTGTGTGTGTGTGTGTGTCCTTACCAGTGACCTGAGAGCTGGTGGTACTTTTTGAATGAGTTCACTCAACTTTCCTGAATTGTGAGCTTTGGTTGAATAATCCTGATGGTGCCACCCATTAGAGGTGGTAAAAGGTTAAATTAAGCTCATGAGTATTACATTTTGCAATGTTTGGTTTAAATATTAATATTTAGTTTAAATATAGCTTGGTTCTCTGTGTCAACAGCTATTTCCTCTGGGTATGTTTTTTTTTGTATACATTATTTCCTCATATAAAGCAGCACAGTAACACTTAGCTGGAAGCTTTGTCTTGTTGGGAGATAGATTCAGCTGCCTCCCTTACGTGCTTAGTAATGTAAGTCGGGAGGTTTTTCTTTAAGTCTGACTTAAGTCCACCTGCCTTTAATTTAAATCCTTTCCTTTTGCTCTGACCCTAATAGCTGTCACTGTGTGGTGTGTGTGTGCACGCGCGCACGTCTGCTTATTAACTTACCAGTCAATGGCTAGACAGTGGTTTGGGACATTTCTTTTGAAAGCCCATTTTTATCTGTTTTATTCCCTTCGTTTATAAGTAAGACGTGATACTTCTGGCTGAGCCCCAGAGTCTTCTGAACTGTCATTTGCCTTCTTCATGATGAAAAAACTCACAAGTTAGTAGGGAGAGCCTCTAGTTGGCAGAATCCTATATAGATTGTCTTATTAAAACTTTGGAGGTAATTACTATAGGCTGGAGTAGTAAGCTTTATGGCCAAATTAGAAGGCGTTCAAATAAGATTTCTTGGTGGCTTTGCTAGCAGTTAACTGCACTTTTTGGAACCCCCCTCCCCTGATGTCAGTTTGATTATTCTTTTTAGTAACACAGCGTTACTAACACTAAACACTTAACACATGTAACCACCTTTACTCTTGAAGAGAAATATGTGGGGCACGTGGGTGGCTCAGTTGGTTAAGCGTCTGCTTTCAGCTCAGGTCATGATCCTGGGTCCTGGATGGAGCCTCACGTGGGGCTCCCTGCTCAGAGGGGAGCTTGCTTCTCCCTTTCCCTCTGTCTCTCCCCCCTGCTCGTTCTCTCTCTCTGTCCCTCTCGTCCTCTCTCTCTGTCTCTTTCTCAAATTAATAAAATCTTAAAAAAAAAGAAGACAAATGTGTGAGAGAACCACACTCACCTCTGAGGTCCAGATGAAGCAGCTAGGTATCTCTCAGAGTCAGTGGCAACCTGTGTGTGGTAGAGCCATTCCAGCTTGTGCTCCTCAGTTGTGGCCACCTTGCTCCTGACTGATCACTGGAAGCTTGGCCCAGATGGTCTACCTCTGTTTTGAAGTTCTGTGACTGGGTGATTTCTGCTCTAAGTTTTCAGTCTATCAAGAAGGAAGAAGAAAAAAAATCTGTTAGGAGATAAGCTGTGTGGCAATGCAAGATAAAGCCCTGAATGTGACTTTGAGGATTAGAATGATGATAAGATACACAGTTTTTTAAATTAGATTCACCGACTACAGTTTAGATTCTTTTTCCTCTAAAGCCCCTGAATACTAAATTTCTGTCATCCTATTTTTGTGAGTTTAGATTGGTGTTAAAATTATTACTAAGAAAATGAGGAAGGAGCCAGAAATCATTGAAGTTGTAAAGCGTAACAACGGTTACAGCATCCGCTTCTTTTGCTACCTTCATTTTATCTCTGCACAAAGAGGGTATTGAAAGTTGAGGTGGTTTACGTGTTAGAAGAAGGGTCTTTTAAAATTGTTTGTTTTAGGTCAAATATATAAGTTGAGAGACTACATAAATGTATTAGAAAAATGGAGCATTCATAGAAAGAGATCTTTTAAAAATCCACTTAGAATCTGTGTAGCTATTTTATAATCTTTGAATTTAGAACTTTATTATGTGGTGTTTATCTGTAGTGTCCTATATTTTCAACATGAACCATCCAAATTAGGCTTTTCTACTTCTTTGGAGGAGAAACATTGGCTCATAGAAAAGCCCACCTTGTGATGTTCAGGTCGCTGGAGGATTGCCTTTATCCAACTTGTTGTCACATTTCAACAGTTTAGAAAGTCTTTACCTCTGTAGTTACAGTAGCTAATTTTATGAATAGTAAATTAGTTTCTTGCCTTTATTTCATTTCATATTAATTTACTTTTTGCACCAATTCTCTTAATTTTATTGTTTAGTAATATGTGTATTTGTCTGAACTGCCTCAAATTAGTTTTTCAACCGGGCAAAGTATAAATAAAAATGAAACTGATTTATAAATTGAGTTGTTTTCAACTCCTGGCATCTTTTTTATCTTTCCTGTTCAAGAATCTCCAGTGATCCATTCTCACCTATTTTAGCAAATATATTTTTCCCATCTCAGTTCTCTCATTTCAGTTTTCTCCCTACCATCTCCACCTGCCCCAAACATTTAATTATTTTCTGCAATACTCACTTTCCTTGATGAATTTCAGCTGTAGGAGGCGTTGATCTTGTGTTACTTTGTGTTTGCTCTTAAATCACCTGTGGCTTTTCTCTAGCTGTTAATCTGCATTAGAGTAAATAATTGTTGTCTCTTTAATTTTCAGACACTCTGTTGTGGCCTGCAGACTAGTGCTAGTTTGCCTCCTTGCTGTAAACAGTGGAACTAAGGAGAGTAGTAGGGGAGAGATGGACTGTTGAATGGAAATGATAAAAAGCTTGTCTGAAAGGTTTGTCAGACTCTGGTAGAGCAAGTAGGATTTGAGGAGAGGAGGAAGGAACCTTTAAACATGAACACCTGAGGATAGGATTGCAACAGATTTTAAAAGTAACTATGAGGGAGAAAGAGACAAACGGACAGACCTTCATAGGTTGATGTGCAGAAAGCTCAAATAGAGTGAACTGGAGTGGCTGTACAGACCTCTTACAATGCAGTGGAAATTTTTTGAGGGTCTGGTGTGCTGTCTCCCATTGTTTTGATTTTTAACTTTTGGGGTCACTCGTGAATTTAGTTGAAATTTTAAGTTAACATTATAGGGGGTATAAAGGGACGTGGATTTGAAAGGTTTAAGAAACATGATTAAAGACATAGTATTTCAAAGAGAAGGGCCATCAGTATCTAGGTTTAAAAATTATTTGTTTTTTTTTTTAATTTTTTTAAGGATTTTATTTATTCATTTGAGACACAGAGATGCAGAGAGAGAGGGAGAGGGAGAAGGAGAAGCAGGCTCCTTGCTGAGCCAGGAGCCCGATGTGAGGCTTGATCCCAGGACCCTGGGATCATGACCTGAGCCGAAGGCAGACGCTTAACCATCTGAGCCACCCAGGCACCCCCAAAATTATTTGGTTTTGGTGGTCATAACTAAGTAATTATTAGATGAAGAAGAGAAGCTGAGCATGAGGAAAGCATCCTTCATTGATTTTACTCGGAGAAAAAAAAGATAGGCATATGGTACCAAGTAACTTTAGTGACTGAATTTCTGCTTCTACCTGTTTCTGAAATACAGAAGGGATAATTGATTTAAACATCTTTTTTTTATTTAAAACATGTTTTTAGATCTATAGTAAGATGTTTTCTTTTTTATAGAAAGAATCATAAACAAAAAATTCATTGGTTAATCTACCTAAAAGCCTTTTTTGTGCTTCTGAATAAACAGTGGAATTGTACAATTCCATGATGGTTCTAATCTATTCAATGCATTATGATGTGACCTGTATTGCTCCGGGCAAGATAGATGTGTCTAGGGACTTGGTGTTTACTGATTCTAAAGAGAGGTGTCCAAAATGTGGATAGGTTTTATCAGGTATTTGGGCATAAGCTATTAAATTTAGCCTTCTGAAGCACTTGGGTGGCTCAGTTGGTTGATTTTAGCACAGGTCCAGATTTTAGGGTTGTGAGTTCAGGCCCCACATTGGGCTTCATGATGGGCATGGAGCCTACTTAAAAAACATAAAGCAAAAGATAAATATAAAAGAATCTCAGCAAAATCATCAGATAGTTGGTATGAATTATGAACTCTGATTTGGAACTCTTTGAATTGTGCTATGATATTTTCCCCAACAGTTGTCTCTAAGTTTATGATCTTTGTAAAGTGATGTGCCTTTTTTCTGGACCAACATAAGTCAGATAGTGTTTGGGTTTACTGAAGAACCATAGGGAATATACTTTTTGTTTCCTTCAGGATGTTAAGTGTAATTATTTTTTTTCTTTGTGAAATATTGCAAAGTGCCCACGTTTTATATCTTTTTAAATTGCTTTAATCTCAACATTTTTTGGATGAGTAATACTTATCTGACATTATAATTATAGATATAACATCTTTACATACGAACTATACAAGAACAGGACTTATTTAGAGAAGTATCTAAATACTTTCTAAATAGAAAGCTGTCTATTTTATCTTTTTTAAAAGATTTTTATTATTTATTTATTTATAGAATGAGTGGGGTGGAGGGAGAGGAGGAGGAAGAGGGAGAGAGAGAATCTCTCAAGCAGACTGCATGCTGAGCTCAAAGCCTGACTCTCTGGCTGGATCTCAGGACCCTGAGATTGTGACCTGAGCCAAAACCAAGAGTCGGATGCTTAATCGACTGTGCCACCCAGGTGCCCTGGAAGCTGTTTTATAATTTAAAATATGTATTAAACAAATGTTTTGTAAGGAAGGAGTAATCTTTTGTTGTAGGGTTTTCTGACTGGTCCAATGAATTCAAAATATCTTGCCTAAGTAGCAGTATTTGGAAAGTAAACATTTGGAATTTTGCTGTCTTTAATATACACTGTCCACTGAGACTCAGTCCATAAAATGGTGCTGATGCCTATTTCTTAGGAACATGATTGAACACCTTTGGGTGAGGCATTATGCTTTACATAAATTATTTCTTAAGAGACACAACAACTCTGCACAGTAAAGATAGTAGCTGCATTTTTTTAGGTGAAGACAGTGAAGCTGAAAGAGATTGCCAGAGGCATGCCAGTGTGTGTTGACATTGACGTCATTCCATTGCCCCTGCTCCCATGTCATCCCACTGCGCCAGGACTATAAGAATTCTCGTGAATCTGATTGACGTGCCTAAACCAATTTGGGGGTTTTGTTTTTACTTTATTAGGTAGAACTGGAGAACTTACTCTTAAGGTCAGCATCTATAAACTGCTAATAGAAGGGTAGCACCTGCTGTCTAGGAGCCTTGGGTTTCTCTAAATCATTTATGTATCCAAACCAACCATGTTGAGAAAGACCAGCCAAGAAAACAGTGGAAGTGACCTGGTTCCACCACACCTACCTGGGGCCTGCTCCAGAGTGAGTTGTACGATATGAAGCTGGTGCTCCTCAGCCTGCCTTCTGTAATATGAGCATATCCCTGGGCTGAGTTTGGTTCCGGTGTTTAAAACATGGCCCCTAAACTCTAGCCAAATTTTGGTCTCGGACTCAGCTTGAGAGGAAGGCAGTTCTTTTTAGTGTTGGGAGGAAGAAATGGGCTCAGTTGGACTTTTTGAGACATGGTATGTCAGTATCCAACATGATGTCTTCTTGAAGGATTTTCCCTTGTAATTTTGATTATTATATGAGAAGTATACTCCATAACCCCTGGGTTATGTGGGACCGGATTGTGTGTAGGAGCCCTGAGCTACAACATTTCAGAGTTGGACAGAACTTGTAGCCTCTTACTCCATGTTGTAACCCTTGTCCCATCACATTGTGGGTAGCCTGCTGAAACCTCTAATTTGTTGAGTATCTGAGTTTGTGTTTTTGAACAGATTTGTTTTTTACGAATTGGCTCTTACTTCACTATATCATTTGACTCACTTGTTAGCTACATCTGCAGATAGAATTCTCTCTGATGGAATTTTAATGGTGTCTTACTGTAATTGAATAAGTGATTTGGTATTTATGAACTCTTCAATACAGAATAATTTCTCATTAAACAGAAATATATTCATAGATCTTTAGGAATTCCCAAATTCATGATTACATGTTTGGTATATACTCAGTTGTCTCATCTGTAATGTGGAGATAACAATACCTACTGAAAGCCTGATTCTGAGGATTGGATGAGGTTGTGTATTAAACCAGAGCCACAAGCCACCTAGAGGTCCAGAGGCAGGGTGGCAGGGTAGGATTTCTAACCAGACAAGATGCGCCAGTGTTGAGAGGCACAGGGGCAAAAAGAAAAGCGAATAGCACATCTCTCTTGCCTTGAAGTACCTTATAGGCTTGTAGGAGAATTAAGTAAGTCTACTTCTGTATCAAGCAAACTTTTCTAAAACCAGGTAGGGAGGGATTGTGAAGGGAGTACTGACTGCATGAGTGATTGAAAGTGAGTCAAAGGAAGTATCTTGGAGTGAGCTTCTGTGCTTATGTTTTTAGAATGAACATATGATGCTTAGTTGAAAGATGTTTGTGCTTGCTTAAAACTTCCTTGACCTAGAACTTTTATCTCTGTAGTGTTAACATAGAAAATTTATTTTTATGTTAGCAATTTTGTATATAAGCTTTATGTACTACATATGTTGGTAAATTTAAGTCCTGTGATTTTTGCCATCATTTCATCTCTTGCTCCATGAATTTTGTTGTCGAGGCCTATAAGTGGAGCCTTTTCTTTGTGTCTAGAAAGCAGAGCTGTCCTCTGTACCTATTGTATACAGTGCAGGCAAATGCTTAACTAAAAAACACTGTTGCTGACTAATTCATAAAGTCTCTTAACATTTTTCTATAAACTTTAATAACTGATTATCATCATTAAAATTTCCTTAGATTATAAACCTACATGAAATTTTATTTTCTACTATTTGAAAAATATTAATAAACCTGTATGGTTAATGGTGGATAATTTTTTTTTAATCTTTTGAGTGTCATCCTTTTCAGTGTTGGCTAAATCTTTTGCTAGTATCTTTGACATAGAAAGAAAAGGGCTTTTGGTTTAGGACATTTCCCTTTTCAAAGTGAATGAACTAGATGACTAATAAGAATTTTATATATTTAAATCTTCTGGTTCATTTGTTTTAATGAGACATACCTAAAGCTCAGTGCTAATGCTGAGAGCTGGAAAAGAACTTTTCCTAATTAAAAGCAAAACAAAATAAAAACCCATAGTGCTCATATTTGCTTGGTGTTTGTTTTTTCTTTTCTCTAGTAGTTTTTATTCCTTGTAGATACGATTCTTTATCGTAAGGCTGCATCACATGATAGTCCTATTCATCTTTTACTTTTTTTCATTTTTTACATTTTTAAGTATACTTTATATCTAAAAATTAAGAGAGTACTTTGAGATATGTAGTGAAGAATACCAGTCTCTTTCTCACTGCCGATTACTGCTTCCTAGAAGAAGTTTCTTTCAACTCTTTTTACTTGTTTCTTGTGAGCTTTAATTCTATGCGTGTATGCCTACACTACTGTGGCTTGGCTTTTCGGTTTTAGACATTCTCTGTGGATTTCCTACTATGCTAGATGAAGATTCATCTCTTACATAACTCTCACACACTTTTCCTTCTATCCTTTGCATGTAATGGTATCATAATTTTTAAATTTCTCAGTATTCAGTATTTATGTTTTCATGGCCGAGTACTGTTTAAGCATATGCAATGATTTTATTTCTTCACCAAATTTTTGTTTTCCCTGGAGTTAATTGTTTTGTTGGGATTAATCACAAATTCAGGCCCCCCAGTTTCTGACAGAATTACAGGACTCTGAGCAGTGAACACCTCACCTGCATCCTATTAATTTCTCACCTCAGTCAGGCCTTCTTTCTTAGATGGTCCTCTGTCAGCCTGCTTCCTCATTTTGGTGGGCACATCCCCCTGTAGCTTTTTTTTTTTTATTATTAATGTTAATCACCATACATTACATCATTAGTTTTTGATGTAGTGTTCCATGATTCATTGTTTGTGTATAACACCCAGTGCTCCATGCAGAACGTGCCCTCCTTAATACCCATCACCAGGCTAACCCATCCCCCACTCCCTCCCCTCTAGAACCCTCAGTTTGTTTTTCAGAGTCCATCATCTCTCATGGTTCGTCTACCCCTCCGATTTACCCCCCTTCATTCTTCCCCTCCTGCTATCTTCTGCTGCTGCTTTTTTTTTTTTTTTAACATATATTGTATTTGTTTCAGAGGTACAGATCTGTGATTCAACAGTCTTGTACAATTCACAGCGCTCACCATAGCACATACCCTCCCCAATGTCTGTCACCCCGCCACCCCATCCCTCCCACCCCCCACCACTCCAGCAACCCTCAGTTTGTTTCCTGAGATTAAGAATTCCCCATATCAGTGGGGTCATATGATACATGTCTTTCTCTGATTGACTTACTTTGCTCAGCATGGCACCCTCCAGTTCATTCCATGTCGTTGCAAATGGCAAGATCTCATTCCTTTTGATGGCTGCATAATATTCCATTGGATGTATATACCACATCTTCTTTATCCATTCATCTGTTAGTGGACATCTTGGCTCTTTCCACAGTTTGGCTATTGTGGACATTGCTGCTATAAACATCGGGGTGCACGTACCCCTTCGGATCCCTACATTTGTATCTTTGGGGTAAATACCCAGTAGTGCAATTGCTGGATTGTATGGTAGCTCTATTTTCAACTTTTTGAAGAACCTCCATACCGTTTTTCCAGAGTGGCTGCCCCAGCTTGCATTCCCACCAACAGTGTAGGAGGGTTCCCCTTTCTCTGCATCCCCACCGACATCTGTTGTTTCCTGACTTAATTTTAGCCATTCTGACTGGTGTGACGTGATATCTCATTGAGGTTTTGATTTGGATTTCCCTGATGCCGAGCGATGGTGAGCACTTTTTCATGTGTCTGTTGGCCATTTGGATGTCTTCTTTGGAAAAATGTCTGTTCGTGTCTTCTGCCCATTTCTTGATCGGATCATTTGCTCTTGGGGTGTTGAGTTTAAGAAGTTCTTTATAGATTTTGGATACTAGCCCTTTATCTGATATGTCATTTGCGAATATTTTCTCCCATTCTGTCGGTTGTCTTTTGGTTTTGTGGACTGTTTCTTTTGCTGTGTAAAAGCTTTTATCTTGATGAGGTCCCAGTAGTTCATTTTTGCCCTTGCTTCCCTTGCCTTTGGCGATGTTTCTAGGAAAAAGTTGCTGCGGCTGAGGTTGAAGAAGTTGCTGCCTGTGTTCTCCTTTAGGGTTTTGATCGACTCTTGTCTCACATTTAGGTCTTTCAACCATTTGGAGTCTGTTTTTGTGTGTGGTGTAAGGAAATGGTCCAGTTTCATTCTTCTGCATGTGGCTGTCCAATTTTCCCAACACCATTTGTTGAAGAGACTGTCTTTTTTCCATTGGACATTCTTTCCTGCTTTGTCGAAGATTAGTTGATCATAGAGTTGAGGGTCCATTTCTGGGCTCTCTATTCTGTTCCATTGATCTGTGTGTCTGTTTTTGTGCCAGTACCTTACTGTCTTGATGATGACAGCTTTGTAATAGAGCGGGAAGTCTGGAATTGTGATGCCGCCAGCTTTGCTTTTCTTTTTCAAGATTCCTCTGGCTATTTGGGGTCTTTTCTGGTTCCATACAAATTTTAGGATTATTTGTTCCATTTCTTTGAAAAAAGTGGATGGTATTTTGATGGGGATTGCATTGAATGTGTAGATTACTCTAGGTAGCATTGACATCATCACAATATTCTGATCCATGAGCATGGAACGTTTTTCCATTTCTTTGTGTCTTCCTCAATTTCTTTCATGAGTATTTTATAGTTTTCTGAGTACAGATCCTTTGCCTCTTTGGTTAGATTTATTCCTAGGGTATTGTATGGTTTTGGGTGCAATTGTAAATGGGATCGACTCCTTAATTTCTCTTTTTTCTGTCTTGTTGTTGGTCCCCTGTAGCTTTTTGAGAAAGGGTTCACAGTAGGTCAATTCTGAGACCTTACCTGTCTGGAAATTTATTCTAGCCCCATACTTAATTGGTAGGCTGGCAATGGAATGCTAGAATGGAAATAGTTTTCCTTTAGAAGTTTGATTTGTTTACTGTTGAGAAATACCAAGCTTTTTAATTTGTTTTTCTCTCCTTCCCATTCTTTCTATCCTTTCCCTTTCTCTTCCAGTTTTCTTTGTTTGTTTGTTTTTTGGTTTTTTTTAAAGCAATTTTATCTCTTTTTAAAGTCTCTCCTCTTTCTCATATTTTGATGAAGTGCCTTTGTTTGTGATTTGCAGCCTTTGTCCCTGTACCATTCACTGTGAGGGAGTGACCGGAACACCTGAGAAGTGCCCTCCTCACGTGGCTTCACGGTGGGACCCACAGTCCTGGCCTTGCTTTGTACACTGATGCCTGGCTAGCAGGCAGGTATATTATCAGTCTGTGTAGGTCAGAAGGGCATAAAAACATTCAATATATGGGTGCTTCTCAGATCTGGTGAGGCTTCATCCCCACAAGCAGAATCATCTGTGGCAGTGTGTCCTCATGAAAAGTTTGAGAGGTAGCTGACATTGGGGTGCTGTACCTCTGATTCAGAGTATGATGTGCATCCTGCTTTGTATAGCCATGCCCACATGGTGATTTCTGAATCCTTTGCCCTTAAAGAAACTGCAGAGCCTTTAACGTTGTCTATTGGCATCTTTCCATTGTGACTGCCTTTGGTGGAGCCCACTACAGTGCAGATACCTGTCCACGTTGGTGCTGGGTACTTGGTAGGAATTTTCAACTTGGAAAATCATGTTTTTGACGCTGGGAAATTGTCTTATAGTTGTCATGCTTTTTTGACATACCTCCACCAGTGTGGGCTCTTGTTTTGAGCACTTCCTTGCTTTTGATCGCCCATTTTTTTCCTCCACCAATTTTTTCGCCTTTCAAAAACTTGACAACCTCTTTCATTTCCTGTTATTTCCTCCAAACGTTCTCTTTGTACTTGTGAGTTACCCCTTTTATGTTTCTTTACTATTAGGTTAGTGAGTGTATAACAAAGTACCACACACTGGATGGTTTAAACAGCAGAAAAATTTATTGTCTCACAGTTCTGGAGGCTGGAAGTCTGAAATGAAGGTGTTGGCAGGGTTAGCTCCTTCTGAAGGCTGTAGGGAGAATCTGTTCATGCCTCCTAACTTCTCGTGGTTAGCTGGCAATTTTTGGCATTTCTTGGTTTGTACGTACAGTATCCTGATTACTACCTTCATGGTCACATGGCATTCTGTGTGTGTGTATGTGTCTTGGTCCAAGTTTCCCCTTTTTCTAAGGATGTTAGTCATATTGGTGTAGGGCCCACCCTGATGACCTCATTTCAACCTGATTACCTCCATAAAGATCCTATTTCCAAAGAAGGTCACATTCTGAGATACTGAGAATTGAAACTCCAAATTAGTTTTGGGGACACAGTTCAACTCTGAACGGTGGATTTTAAGAGGGAATGAAGATCAAATGTATGACATCCTTTGCATTTTTTATGTTTTGGGTTTTTTAAAAAAGATTTTTATTTATCTACTTGACAGAGCGAGAGCAGGAACACAAGAAGGGGGAGTGGGAGAGGGAGAAACAGGCTTCCCGCTGAGCAGGGAGCTCGATGCAGGGCTCAATCCCAGGACCCTGGGACCATGACCTGAGCCGAAGGCAGACGCTTAACTGACTGAGCCACCCAGGCGCCCCAACATCCTTTGTGTGTAACAGAATGTCTAGTTATCGTAATATTTTTAAAGACTCTTAATCACATCTGTCTTCACTGAAGATCAGAAAGCAACTCTCAGGAAATAATTTTTAGATTACACTTGGTGATTTTTTTTTTTTAAGATTTTATTTATTTGACAGAGAGAGATACAGCGAGAGAGGGAACACAAGCAGGGGGAGTGGGAGAGGGAGAAGCAGGCTTCCTGCCAAGCAGGGAGCCCGATGCGGGGCTCGATCCCAGGACCCTGGGATCATGAACTGAGCCAAAGGCAGACGCTTAACGACTGAGCCACCCAGGCGCCCCCACTTGGTGATTTTTGTTCAGATTCATGTGACTTTTAAATTTCTGCTGGTTTCCTGAATGTTTAATAACTTAGTATCTGATCACCTCATTTGCTACCCTTGTTTTGTTTCTAAAGTAATTTGAAGGTTGGCAGCATGATTACAGCAGTGTCTTGTGAGAAAGTAAATTCTGTCATGACATAGTTATGTGAACATGATCAGCCAGGTTCTGATGCTCTGTCTTCTGTGTTAATTGCACTCTTTCTTTTTCAGATGTGAGTCTCCTGGGTTAAGGTTGTTTGATTTTAAAAGTTCTGTCATACGTTTTTGTTTTGTTTTGTTTTGGCTTCTCAATCCCTTTACCTAAAGTAGCCCTTCCTGTCCTTCCTCCCTCCCTTTTTGGCAGCGTCACTCTCTTTAATTTCCTTTATAATAGTTATCCCAGTCTGGGATTTTATTTCTTCTTTTTTTTTTAAAGATTTTATTTATTTATTTGTCAGAGCACAAGCAGGGGGAATGGCAGGCAGAGGGAGAAACAGGCTCCCTGCTGAGCAAGGAGCCCGACGTGAGACTTGATACCAGGACCTGAGCCAAAGGCAGACGCCCAACTGACTGAGCCACCCAGGCATCCCTGTTTTTTATTTCTTGTCTCTCTTTCTCCGTTAGAATCTTAGTGCCGTGAGAGCAGGCACCTCATCAGCCAGGTTCACTGCTTGATCTCAGCTCAGAATAGAATAGTACCTACACATGAAAGTAGACACTGCTTTTTAAACAGGTCAGTGAGTTGAAATAAGCTTTATTTTCCAACATTCCAAATGTTGCTTCACTGAGTTGCTGTTGCTCTTGGAAGTCCTTCTCTCTTGTTGCAGTAGCTCAG